AATTTATTTATTTATTTAATTTATTTAGTTTTGGCAGCGTCGCGTCTTCGTTGCTGCGCAGGCTTTCTCTAGTTGCGGTGAGCGGGGGCTACTCTTCGTTGCGGTGCGCGGGCTTCTCACTGTGGTGGCTTCTCTTGTTGCAGAGCATGGGCTCTAAGCACGCAGGCCTCAGCAGTTGTGGCTCGCGGGCTCTAGAGCACAGGCTCAGTAGTTGTGTTGCACGGGCTTAGTTGCTCTGCGGCATGTGCGATCCTCCTGGACCAGGGATCAAACCCGTGTCCCCTGCATTGGCAGGCGGATTCCCAACCACTGCACCACCAGGGAAGTCCCCTGATGGCTGTTTTTTAATTGCTTCAACATTTTCTGTATTTTCCAAATTTTGTATAACAATCATGAAAAACAAACCTCTGTGCAAAACTGTAAATGTAAACTACAACATGTTTTAAAAATTCCTTTGGTCCCTCTTGTTCTTTTGTGCTTAATGTGCAAAATTCTCAGTTATTCTCCAACCATAGTATTATTTTGAACCTTAAATTCAAAATTTACCAGGAATTGTTCCAATCAGAGAGCAAAGGATGAAAAATCTGAACTGCTCACACACATTTGTTAAAATTAAACAGGAAAACCAAATGTGGTGAAGAATCAAGAAAGGTGTGCATCCAAAGACTTACCGTAAAGCTGTTGTTGACATTTTTAGTGCTGGATTCAGCCACGCTGGCATCTGTCAGGTCCACCTCATCAAATATGATTGACTGGAAAGACACAGGGACTGCAGTCAGTGGGGGCTAAGGTGCCTCGACCCCAGGCAAGCACTTGAGAACTAAATGAACGCTGCGTGAGTTCACCCTACCTGCTTCTGACAAAGCACCAAGCTCACAGGTATAGCTCAAGACTTTTTTTTTAGTCCAGGGAGTTCCCCAGTGATTGCATTAATGGAACCAAAAATACGTCCTCACACGAGTCCACCTGAGAGGGCAGGTTCCCGACTGAAGGTCCTCTGTCCTTCCGACTTTAGTTTCTCCACCTCGCACATTTGCGGGGAGAGGTCCCGGCTAAAATAAACAATTCTAGGGGAAGAGAGACTGACCTAAATAGAAGGGACCCAGCCATGAAAGAAAACAAGGGAGCAGAGCAGAGCGAATCTAGGCCTGGAGAGAGACAGGCTCCAGAAGAAGGGCTGGGAACCAGGTCTGAGACGCCCTCCTCCCCATTTTCCTCTCCTCTCTCTCCCAAATCCCCCCGTTCATAGCCCTCACCTCCTGTTTACCTTTCCATCCCCTCTAGAAGGAGGACTCCATCAGAAACCCCTGGAGGAAACGCTAATAAGCTAGAAAAGAGACTCAGTCTTTTAAGTAACTCCCCCACCCCTCCAACTAAAATAACTGTAAGGGTTTGTCTTTTTTTAATGAAGGATGTGGTCAGAACCCTATCTAAACAAGTTACTCTGTTTAATTTCAAATTTTAATGCACTAACTCACTAGGGATACATCTCAAAATGTAAATTATTCAGATTCCAGATTATTTTTAATGCCGAAATATTAGTATTGACTGCAATACTGATACAAAAAGACTGGTATTCAGAACACCAAAAACTAGGTTTGCAGACACGCTAGTGTTTGAAGTGTGTGACACCACAATCGTCTAAACTGGGCAGTGACTCAGGGACTCTCAGTGGCTCCTCCTCTGTCACTGGCATCTGCCTGGTGATTCTAGCTTTAAATCTTACACAGATGGCACATGGGAAGAAGGATCATGGCTAGAAAGCCAGAGGCAATTTCTATTCACACACCAAAAAGCCCAACACACTTTAAAAATACTTTTAGTTAGATTCACAGGTACATACACTCAACTCCAAACTCATCAAGTTGTATACAGTAAGTATCTGTACAGCTTTTTGCAGGCCAATTATACCTTACTAAAGTGTTTTTAAGAAAAAGATACTTAGGCTGTAATAAGAGATTTTTAAGCCAGTTACCCCCGATTTTTCTGAAAAAAAAGATATCTAATGGTAATGTGGTTACTTCTGTGACCTTTTCTCCTTTCCCCATTGGTTACACATGACATTAAAGAAAAAGAAAATTAATTAAAAAATCAATGTTCATAAGAAATAAAACATGCTTGAGACAGATAAAACCCAGCACCCTAGAGTATTACAAAACTTGCTCAAAATAACAGATCTAGAATCAAAGGTTTTTCCCAAGATGAGGACGCAGAACCCAGTCTCTCCCTGCAGCTCCTCAGATAGTTTTCTCTCGTTAAGTTTCCTCCTCTGCATCTCACCTTGGCAGTTTTTGCATAGTACAGCGTTCGCCCTCGAAGCTTAAAGTATCTCCTTTTTGATCGTTGGAATGAATTGTTCTGTTTGGTCAGCATCCCCTCTTTGATGACGGTCTGAAAGCACAGAAACGGATTCATGAGCGTGTGTTTTCGCGGTGCCATGCGCTTGTCCACTGACTCCAGTGCATTTGTGTCTCTAATGGGCCGATGGCCTAACAGAGCTATTTCACACTCTCCCCAAACCCTGACCTATGGACAGGCTGAGCACACAGCCAGGGGAGGGTGACACAATTCTCCAGGGGGCGATGGAGTGCCAGAGTGGCGGGGGGAGGGGCATGGGGGTGGGTCAGAGGCCCAAGGTGTGCCCTGCATATGCCCCCGGGGCGGAGGGGGGGGGTTAGCAGAAGTGGGGCGCAGGACCACCGTTAGTGGCCCCGGGCCAGTGCTCTCTCCAACTTCAGCATTTGGTATTTTTCAGCTATTCTTGGCCCCGTCTCCGTGTTCTCTGGCCTCCTGCCATTTCTCAGGATCCTGTTGCCAAAACTGTCGATGTAGGTTGCTATGGGGTTCAGTGCAGTTCCAGGCCTGCCCCCTTGGGCCCTCACCCCTGTTCACAGGCTGGGCATGTGCATCTACCCACACTGTAACACAGAGAAGAGCCACTGCCAAAGTCACTAAAACTCCTCCACCCCCAAAATCTGACCAACCCACCAGCAAGCAGGAGTTCAAAGACAATCACGAGGTGAACAGCAGTCCACTCAGCTCAGCTCAATTAAAGCCAAGAATGGGGCATGGCTTCTCCTGAAGCTACTTCCCGGGCACTTACCAAACGGGAGGAGGGAGCCCTACACACCACTTACAAGTTAAAAGTTCAAGGACCTACCTGATCGTTAGATGTGTTGAACTACGCAGAGCCACTAACACAGTCAAAACTAATAAACAAGGTGCCCTGAAACAAGTGCCTGGCTTCCAGCATCTGCACACACCTCAACAAATGTCCATTCTACACGGAGGCCCACCATGCGATGGAGGCACAATGTATAAAATTCTGTTCAAGGACAAGAACATGGGTCCAGAGAAGCTTTTGTTTAATTACCCAATCCCCTACAGCTCTGCACTTTAGGTAACTTTTTAAGTAGCTGTACAAAGCACTTGGGCGTCTGTGGCCACTTAAGACAACATACGATGAAACAAGACACAGAAACCCTACGTCACCCCAATGTGTCAGAGGCAAGAGCAGATGTCTGTGCTGCCTGGTCCCTCCATCATCCTGCTCCTAACGGGGAGGGAGTGGAACCTGCGATGCACTGATACCCCCCGTAGAAGAATGCTGAAGACAACCCCCTACACACACCACCAGCATCTGGCTGTGCACCAGGACCCCCCCGTGACAGCCCACGCTCCAGGTGTCCTGGGAGGCCGGCAGCACTGCTCCTCCCCTTATCCCCGCCACACAACGTCCTCTTGGAGCTTCCTGGGCACAGTGGGCTGCACACGCCAGCTTGCGACCCCATGCTGGGTCTGATGGAATTTGCGCAGTCAGGGCTGGCCCAGCAGCACAAAGAGCAACCATTTCCAATTCCCTAGAGAATCAAATCTGGGGGGGGGGGCGGAACTAGTGAGGAACCGCCCTACTCATTCTGTGGCATGCACCTTCACCTTTACTTCTGAGGAGGCCACCCACTGTTCTTCCAGGTAATTAAGGAGAGAGGAACACATCACCCAAGATCAAGGTAAGAGATATGTGCCGATCCAAGGCAGAGAGAAAGTCCCAACCTCTGGTCCCAGGAGCTCCTGCAATACAGAAGGACTGCTAGGTTGTTTCCTAAGATTCTTTTCAGACCCAAGTGCACATGGTGATGCTATTTCAATGTGCTCTTCAAAGACAGGACAGCTGACTGCCCAGCGGAGCAGACACAAGACGCCTGCTCAACTCTCCAGGAGAGCCTTTCCTCTGGACCCCGCAGGACCCGCTCACAGACCAAGTCACCTCTCCTCACCCCCAAACGTCTTCCTTACCTCTGCAGAAGAAGGCATCACTTCCACCTCTTTCCCAAATGCAAATTAAAGAAAAAAAGAAAAAAAAAGGCACCAAAACCAACAAGCCCAGACCCAGAAAAGTTATAAGAAGTTATCTTTAAAGGATAAATGCTAGAGTATTTTTCTTGCATCTCCCACTACACATGTCACACATAAAAGAAAAGCAGAATTAAACCAAAATCCACTCTCTCACACACACACACACACACACACACAAATCTTTCAGAGAGCGGATGAGAGCTGCGATCTTGGGCTACCCAAGGAGAGCTGTTGTTCTATTTATAGAACAGTGCTCAGAAAAAGACTCTGGTGGGTTTCAGCGGAAAAGGCTGGGGAAAAGATAAAGACCAGTATTTCTTTGAAGCTTTCTCAGAAACTGCATTTCTTCTCCTATTCACTGCTAGTGGAAGACTATAGATATGCTGCAGAATATTTTTAACACTCAGTCAAAAGCAATGCACTAAAAGTGGTCAAGAAAAGAACACCCCTGACTAATCTGCTGTGCTTTGCATTTGGCAGCCTGTAAGCAGCACCCACAGGAAACTGCTCAGCTGGCAGGGCTCCTCCTCACGCCCACTGGAGCAGAGAACCAGAAGCCCAAACCCAGACCCAAGAGGGGCTGGTCGCTTATGCTGGTCAGCCAGGCTCTTAGAATCATTTTGTCAAGTTCTTTGCACAAACGACAGGGCCAACTCTGTCCTTCAAGCCATCCGGGGCACCTTCATTACCATCAGGGACAAAGGACAGATTTGCAACACACACAGGCACTGAGAATCCGAGCGGCAAGTAAGTGGGAAGTGGAGCATGTGGCCCCCCTCCAAACGGAGAGGATGCAAATCCCAAGCTGGGCTGCGGGATGGAAGACGGCAGGGTATTCAGCCTGAGCCAAAGCCGCCCACTGACTGACAGAGACACGCCCAAGCCACAGGTGAGGCGGCCCAGGCACCTGCCACAGGCGAAGCTCGCATCCTAGTCATCCTACTCAGGAGCAAAGAACGGAGTAAGGCAGCTCCGGAAAGGCCCTTCCAAAGCCTGCAAACCAGTGGGCAGAGAAGCCGAGGTCAGGCCTGCCTTGGTGGGGCCCTGTTCACCAGTCACAGGGGAGGATGACCCCTCTCTGCAAAGGCAGTGGAGGCTCCTGCTCTCACCCTCCCTTTGTGCCCTCCCCAGACAGGCAGCAGCAGTGGCTCAGAGGGCTCCAGGGACAGCTCAGACCAGAGGAGGACACAGGACACAGGACACCAGGGAGGGAACAATTCCCCCACAAGGGAAGGCTTCCCAGAGCAGGTCTTAGAAGATGAGCAGGGGTCTGAGCAGGCCAGGCAGAGAGGTCCACAGCCTCCTACAGGCTGCAGGCAGAGCCCAAGAGGGCTGGGAAGGTGGGCAAAGGGCCCAGATCACTGACAGCCAGACCTCCCAGTCACAGGGCCCCCAAATCAGGGGCGGTATCTCAGGATGTACATTTTACTTAAGAAAGATGATTTTGAAAAAAAAAAAAGAAAGAAAGAAAGATGATTTTGGCCACAATGTGGAGAAGAGGGAGTGGGGATGAAATGAGGAGGTAGGCAGAACACTCCAGAAACTCTTATAAGACAGCAACCGACAGGAGCACCTGGGAGGATGAGGCACAGTCACAGGCATGAGAGCGTTTAAAAGAAGACAAACCATAGACGGGGTGAAGGGGATGATCCCGAGGGGTCTCCTGGGGGAGGATGTGGCCTTCGTTTTAGACGTGCTGACTCGACGCCAGAGACGCCTGGGGGAGCTGAGTGGAGGGCCAGCAGCAGATAATGCGGTTGCGGCACAAGATAAAGTTTAAGGGGGAGACACCTCAATGAAGTCCCTTATGGGGAAGGAGTGGAATGAGAAGAGGCTCAAGGAACTGGGAACCCCAGGACACGAACATCAGGTGCAGAGAGGAGGTGGGAGTCCAAAACGGAAGACAAGAAGGAAGTGGCACAAAACCAGGGGAGCAGATGAGAAAGCACCGAGAAGGCATCGTGGATGACATCTGCTAAGGGCTGAGGTCGAGTGCACGGGTGAGGTCATCAGTGGGGCCCAGGAGAAGCCAGACGAGAGGTCCGTGAGGAGTCACTGAGGACCCGCCGCCGGAGCAGACTCTCGACCTGACCCAGGGCAAAGCCAGATCAAAGGGCAATGAATGTGACCCGGATGGGAGGAGGAAGCAAAGATGGTAGGTTGTTTTTTTAATTTGCATGTTTCTTAACTTTTTATGAACTTGGAATTATACTGTACATGAACTTCCTATTCCTTCTGTCCTAATGTGTTGTCAGCAGCCTTCCATATTAGTAAATATATTTTTGTCTGCTACAGAGTATTTCACTGTAGTGATGTGCGTGTATCATTCAACACACTCCCACTGCTGGAACATTTAGAACGCTTCCTGCTCAATATTATCAACAATGCTTCAAAGATTAGTGCCATAATGGAATATCCCCACATGTCCTGAGCTACTCCTTAGAGCAAAGTACTAGAAGTAGAACTTGGGGATCCAAGCCCAGAAACAGATGCTCACAGGTTTGAAAGCGTGATGTGTGACAGCAGGCTGGGGAGAGAGGGGCTAGTCAGTGGAGCTGAGACATCAGGTCATCTAAGGGGAAAGGTGCAATTGGTCCCGTACCTCACACACCACACAGGAATCACTTCCGGGTGGCCTACAGATTCAGTGCAAAAGGAGAAACTTTAAAAGCTTCAGTAGACAATACAGGATAATTTCTTTATGACCTTAGAACTGGAAAAAATTTCTTAAATAGGATTTTTAAAATACTAAACATAAACTATAAGATTGCTGAAACCAACTTTATTCCCACTGAGAAACTCTGGCCATCAGACACCTTATAAAGAAACAGAAGAGAGGGGCTTCCCTGGTGGCGCAGTGGTTAAGAATCCGCCTGCCAATGCAGGGGACACGGGTTCAAGCCCTGGTCCTGGAAGATCCCACATGCCACGGAGCAGCTAAGCCCGTGCGCCACAACTACTGAGCCTGCACTCTAGAGCCCACATGCTGCAACTACTGAAGCCCGTGTGCCACAACTACTGAAGCCCGCGAACCTAGAACCCGTGCTCCGCAACGAGAAGCCACCACGATGTGAAGCCAGCGCAGCGCAACGAAGAGTAGCCCCCCCGCTCGCCAGAACTAGAGAAAGCCCGCATGCAGCAACAAAGACCCAACGCAGCAAAAATAAACTTAAAAAAAAAAAGTGTTACTTTAAATTTGCACATCACTTGAAATTTTCATGAGCATTTTTATATCTATTTGCCTTCTTAAGAGAACAAACACTTATGGTCTATGAGACAGACACTAATATTCTGAGTGACAAATAAGAAAACTGGTCACTGAGTAATCTGTCCAAGGTTAAACAGCTAACAACAGACCACAAAAGAAATGTCAGGCCTCCTTACTCTTATTTCAAACCTCCTTCTAAGGCTTAGGAATACCTTAATAAATAAACAGGAAACAACCAGAAAATAATTTGCTCACAAAACACAGGCATGTACAGCATACCCAAGACCAACAGATTATTTTAAACTCTTACTAAGTGAGTGCCCACCGTATCTACCACATAACATACAAGCCATTTTCACCTTTTAATCCTCACGCCGACTTTGGAGGCATGTAGTAATAGTCCCATTTTATAGACTAGGAAACTGAGAGTCAGAAGAATTAAGTAACTCACTCAAGGCCACATAGCTAGTAAATGGAAGACCTGAAATTCGAACCTAGAACCTAGTCAGGCCAAAAATATCTGATGGCAAGTCTATGACCCTCCGTCATGAGGCTGTGTCCCTCGCCAGATCAAGAGAGGCCCAAGGGCTATGGCTGTCTTATTGATCTTATTCATCTTAATTACCCAGTGCCCAGCACTGAGAATTCTGAGGAAACTTTCTGCAAAATATCATAAAGGGCTAATATCCCTAATCTATAAAAAGGTTCTTAAAAATTGAGAACTAACAACCTGATAGAAAAATGGGCAAAAAATATGAACAGCCATTTCACAAAAAAATTAAAATAGTACAGTTCACAAAAAATAAATTTAAATGGCCCTTAAATACATGAAAAGATGCTCGACCTAGCTCATAATGAGAGAAAAACAAATTGAAACTAAACTAAACTACTATTCTCACTATCAGATTGACAACAAAAAAAAAGCCAACACACTCTGGGCGAGACTGTGAAGAAACAGGCTGGTCCGACTTCAGGATGAGGTAAACCTTGAGGACCAGAATCTGGCAAAACCCAGCAAATCAGACGTGCATCTACCCTCTGATCCAGTAAGCCCACTCCAAGGAAACTATCCCACAGACACTCTAGTAAAAATATAAAATGAGGTTTGTGCAAGGATATTTGCTACAAAATATTACAGCAAAAGACTGAAAATAATCCAAATGGTTGAATAAACTATGGTACATTCAGGAAACAGAATACTACACCATTGTAAAAGGAATGAGGAAGATCTTTATACAGCTATGGAATGATCTCCAGATTATATTAAGTGAAAAAAGAAAGGTTCAGAACATGTAAGGAGTATGCTACCTTTTGCGTAAAAAGGATATTTGTGTGTGTGTGTATAGACAGAAATAAAATTAAAAGCAAATATGTGCATATATTATTTTTAAATTTTCAAACAGAAACAATGAAAGAATAAACCAAAATAATAAAATAATAAAAATGGTTACCTATGGGGAAAGAGAAGGACAGAGCAGAGCAGACAGGGGAGGAAGGTACATCATCTTAAAAAGGACTTGCACAGGAGGGCAGCCCCTGCAGGGCAGCAGCACCTAGGGGCACTAACACTGGCCCACGCCCACGGCTTTCCAAGACCAGCCCCACTTCATCTGTACAACCACCTCCTAAGGGGGGCACTGCCAACATTCCCACTTCACAGAGACAGGCAAGGAGGAGACGGCGTCGGTACCCGTGCCGTGCCTGCTCTGTGCCAGGAACTTAGTTCTCATCAGTATTTCATCCAGTCTTCACCACCCTGTGAAGAGTTACTACACCCTTTCACTTACAAAGAAACTGAGGTCCAGAGAGGACCTATGTCTGCAGAGAAGGGTCAGAGATGGGGCTTCAAACCCAGGTGTGTCTGATTCCAACTCTCTCCACACTTCCATATTGAGTGAAAGGAACCCACTCTTCCAGGGTGAGCACATGGACAGACGTGCATGTCTCAAGGCACAGCCATCTCCCCTACCCACAAGGTTGGCCTCTGAACACACGCGGAGGCTCAGTTAAGGCACCAAAGACTCACCCGGCCTCTGTGAGCCTAGACAGTAAAATCAATCTCCCCACGGGCCTGTGGAATGAAATGCACACTTTGTTCCAACAAATATTTACTGAACACTTAGTGCAAGCACTGCTAGGAATATGATGATGAAAAAGACAGGACCCTTGACCCTTAAGGAAACTGCATGCTGGTAGAGGGATACTTTTACAAAGTAAAAGGGACCCTTAGAATTTTGCTTTTTAAATACTCAGAAAAAAGCAGGGCTCAGGGCTGGGGATAGATGACACAAAAAAGGTGCAAGGCTGACAACTGTTTGGACTGATGATTAATTAAACTCCTCTCCCTACTTTTGTGTATGTTTGGACATTTCCATTACAGGGGTACAGACAGGGTGCTCTGGAAACTCAGATGTGAACAAAACACAACAGAGGCTTGAACGCAAGGCCTGAAGCTGCTACCTCTTAGGCTAAAGCCAGCCACTGCCTTACCGCAGTTTCCTGATCGTTCAATCCCCGCCAGAAGGTGCTATACAGAGTGGAAAATGCCTGAGAAAACAGCTTAGACACTGCAAAGGGCTTAGACACAAATGTAAGACAGTACCTTAACCATCATTACTCAAATTCCTCTTCCCTGGGCACATGCTCAACCCGCTGTTCCCTCACCCATTTTCAGACATTAGGTGGAAATAAAGTCTAGCGTTAAACAGCCCAACTCGGGGCTGACGGGCTTCCTGGAGGTTACTTTTTCTTTACTTGAGAACACGCAAGAGTCCAGCCACTGCTAACACCTGACACTAACATCCTGAGATAATATCCTTCCAGTGTGTTTTCAGTATATAAATAAAACAGAAAAGTGGGGTTATATAATGTACAGATTATTTAATAACCTGCTTTTCCAAACGATACATTGTGACCAGATCTGCTTTTATTTTATGTTTTGTTTCTCTACAGCCTACTTCTACTTCATTTATTTAGATGCTTAAGGACGCTGACATAATTATGAACAAATCTAAGAAACTGAGTGCTTCATATATCAAACTGTCTCAACCAAGCTAAACTGTACCTTATTTACACCAAGACCTTGAACTCTCTGCTTACATAAGTTTAGATTTATTTTCAACACAGGAATTAAAAGTTTAAACAAATGGGAACATAACTAAAATGTTCCACATAATATACACATTTATTAGGATACTATGAAATTTAAATCCTATGTTTTCACAAATCTGGCTCCTTAAATGTAATCTGTTTGACCCAACAGTTCAAACTGTTCAGCTGTGTCTTAGGACATTCCAGAGAAGCAACTGAGGGCAGACTCATCTCCATCTTCTACTAACACGCAGCATCCGTGGCAAGACAGACGCTCTTACTGTAAGGAATCTTCAACTGAAGAGTAACATGTTATGCTTTTTTGTTTTCTTTAGTATAAAATAATAATGCTCATTTTAGAAAATGCAGAAAAGAAATAAAAATAATCCCAACTGCACCACCAGCACGATCCCTGACATCAGTTTGGAAACTCTCACCTCCTTGGCACACAGCTGAATGTCTATACACACTGCCTCTCTGATTTCCCGACATCACAAAGTACTGTCCAAAGTACTGCTTTCCTTCATCACCTGAATGGCTGATGAGGCCAAGGGCAGCTCCTTGCTCTGCCACTTCCCGGCTGTGTGGCCTCATGCTGCTGGGTGCCTCAGCCCCTCCACGGCAACCTTCATGCAGTTGTGAAGTTCGTAAGGCCACCCACGCACGGTACTCAGTGTAGGACCAGCACCAAACAGGTGTCAGCTAATGTCATTAACTCACTGAGTTGTTAAACTGAAGTGTTTCCGGGTTTGCAACTTTTTATATTTAATGGTGCAATAAACATGTTGCCCATGATGCTTTTTCATATTTAAGATTAGTTCTTCAAGGTAGGGTCCCACCAGTGGAATTACTGGGGCAAGAGTTTGCAGTTTCTTGGAGTTTTTCACTGTGTTACCAAATCGCTTCCCCAAGTGGTTATACCCATATGTGCTGCCAGAGGGCAAAGCAGCTACAAGGTTCCTATAAACAGCAAAATCCCAGCTCATACACAATACTGGTTAAATACAAAAAGACACACAGAACATATTACAAGTAGACTGTAAAAAACCACTTAAACGATTAGACTCACACCTCAGTCTTGACAAACCTGGGTCCTCTTAAAGTACGTGAAAACTTTGAGCCACCACAAAGAGAATGGCGATAAAGAACAATTTCCCAGACTTCCTTTTCACTGGCTTCTGAGTACTAGTCCATCTTTATCAAAGAGTTCAAATACAAAAACTATCAAATGGGATTGGATTTAAGGAGGTGAGTATTTATTTCACATCTTCCCAAACCACAGAAAGAACTGAATTCACTCTCAAACGTGAAATGGAGAAGAGTTCTATGGCAGTAAAAATTCTGAAATGCAGATATTTTCTTTTAAACCCTTTAAATGTGTAAATGTATTATAATCATCCATAACAATAATTCTACTAAGAACCACTTTACTGAGACCAATCCAAAATGGCTGGGACTTCCCTGGTGGTCCAGTGGGTAACACTCTGCGGTCCCAATGCAGGGGGCCTGGATTCGATCCCTAGTTGGGGAACCAGATCCCACATGCATGCCGCAACTAAGAGTCCGCATGCCACAACTAAAAGATCCCGCAGGCCACACAAAGATCCAGCACAGCCAAAATAAATAAATAAACAATAATTTTTTTTAAAAAATGGTCAAGATTACCAACCAATCCTAAAAAGTTCATTAGCTAGTTTTATGTATTAGAAGGTATAGAGCTTCAGAAGCAGAATCCAGTTGAAAAAAAGAGGCCCTCTTCAACCAGCGGTGCTGGGACAACTGGATACTCACATGCAAAAGAATGAAGGTGGACTCCTACCTCACACCATATGGAAAAATTAACTCAAAATGGATCAAAGACTAAACATAATAGCTAAAACTATAAAATTTCTAGAAGAAAACTTAGGCGTACGTATTCTTGACCTTGGATTTGGCAATGGTTTCTTAAATATGATACCAAAAGCACCAGCAAAATAAGAAAAAATAAACTAGACTTCATCAAAATTAAACTTTTATGCATAAAAGGACACCATCAAGAGTGAAAAGACAAAATCGTCAACAAAATATTAGCAACTGAATCCAACAACACATAAAAAGGATCCTACATCCTGATCAAGCTGGATTCATCCCAGGTTCACAAGGATGGTTCAATATACACATATCAATCAATGTGATACACTACATCAACAAAGGAAAAGACAAAACCCACATGATCATCTCAACAGATGCAGAAAAAGCATGTGATAAAACTCAACATCCATTCATGACAAAAAAAAATTCTCACCAAAGTGGGCATAGAGGGAACATATCTCAACATAATAAAAGCCATTTACAACAAACCCACAGCCAACACAGTACTCAATGGTGAAAAACTGAGTCTTCCCACCACTTCTATTGAACATAGTACTGGAAGTCCTAGCCACAGCAATCAGATAAGAAAAAGAAATAAAAGGTATCTAATTGGAAGGGAAGAGGTAAAACTGTCATCATTTGCAGATGACCTGATACTACATATAGAAAATCCTAAAGACACCACACAGAAACTATTAGAACTGATTAAATGAATTCAGCAAGGCAGCAGTATACAAAATTAACACACAGAAATCAGCTGCATTTCTTTACACTAATAATGAAATAACAGAAAGAGAAAGTAAAAAAAAAAAATCCTTTTTAAAATCACATCAAAAAATAAATAAATAAAATACTTAGGAATAAACCTCACTAAGGAGGTGAAAGACACATATGCTGAGAACTATAAAACACTGATAAAGGAAACTGAAGATGATTCAAAGAAATGGAAAGGTATCCCATGCTCATGGATTGGAAAAATTAATATTGTTAAAACGGCCACACTACCCAAAGCAATCTACAGATTTCATGTTAGCCCTATCAAATTACCTGTGACATTTTTCACAGAACTATAACAAATAATCATAAAATGTATGTGGAACCACAAAAGACCCAGAATTGCCAAAGCTATCATAAGGAAAAAGAACAAAGCTGGAGGCATAACCCTCCCAGACTTCCGACAATACTACAAAGCTACATTAATCAAAGCAGCATGGTACTGGCACAAAAACAGACATACGGATCAATGGAACAGAACAGAGAGCCCAGAAATAAACTCACACACTTACAGTCAATTAATCTTCAATAAAGGAGGCAAGAATATACCATGGAGAAAAGACAGTCTCTTCACCAAGTGGTGTTGGGAAAGCTAGACAGCTGCATGTAAATCAACGAAGTTAGAACACTCCCTCACACCATACACAAAAATAAACTCAAAATGGCTTAAAGACTGAAATATAAGACATGACACCATAAAACTCCTAGAAGAGAACATAAAACTCCTAGAAGAGAACACAGGTAAAACATTCTCTGACATAAATCATAGCAATGTTTTCTTAGGTCAGTCTCCCAAGGCAAAAGAAATAAAAGCAAAAATAAATGAATGGGACCCAATCAAACTTACAAACTTTTGCACAGCAAACAAAACCATAGAGAAAACAACAAGATGACCTACAGAATGGGAGAAAATATTTGAAAACAGTGTGACCAAAAAGGGCTTAATTTCCAAAATATACAAACAGCTCATACAGTTCAATATCAGAAAAACAAACAACCCAATCAAAAAGTGGGCAGAAGACCTAAGTAGACATTTCTCCAAAGAAGACATACAGATGGCCAACAGGCACATGAAAAGATGCTCAACATCGCTAATTACTAGGAATTCCCTGGTGGTCCAGTAGTTTGGACTCCATGCTTTCATTGCTGAGGGCCCAGGTTCAATCCCTGGTTAGGGAACTAAGATAACACAAGCTGCGTGGTGTGACCAAGGAAAAAAATAAAAAGTAAAATAAAATAAAACATCGCTAATTATTAAAGAAATGCAAATCAAAGCTATAATGAGGTACCACCTCACACCAATCAGAATGGCCATCATTAAAAGGTCTACAAATAATAAATGCTGGAGAGGGTGTGCAGAAAAGGGAACGCTCCTACACTGTTGGTGAGAATGCAAATTGGTGCAGCCACTATGGAGAACAGTATGGAGGTTCCTTAAAAAACTGAAAATAGAGCTACCATATGATTCAGCAATCCCACTCCTGGGCAAATACCAGAGAAAACTCTAATTCGAAAAGATACACGCACCCCAATGTTCACAGCAGCACTATTTACAATAGCCAAGACATGGAAGCAACCTAAGTGTCCATCAGCAGATGAATGGATAAAATGGATAATAAGAACCTGCTATTTAAAAAAATAAATAAAATTTTTAAAAAAATACTTTCACTACATTTTTTTCTCTCTTTAAAACTGTAACTTTGAAAGGCCTACTCTTGAAGGTCAGGGCGAATTCCACTGAAATTCAATGTGGTCAATATGATTTGTAGTCTTCAGAGATTCAAAATAAATAAATGAAAAAAAGAAAAAAAAAAGATGTGGTATATACATACACACACACACACACACACACACACACACACACACACAAACACACTGGAATATTACTCAGCCATAAAAAAAGAATGAAATAATGTCCTTGGCAGCAACAGGGGTGGACCTAGAGAGTATCATACTAAGTGAAGTAAGTCAGAGAGAGAAAGACCAATATCATATGATATAATTTATATGTGGAATCTAAAAAAATGATACAAATGAACTTATTTACAAAACAGAAACAGACAACAAACTTATGGTTACCAAAGGGGAAGGGAGGAGGGATAAATTAGGAGCTTGGGATTAACAGATACACACTGCTATATATATAACAGATAAACAACAAGGACCTACTGCATAGCACAGGGAACTATATTCAATACCTTGTAATAACCTATAATGGAAAAGAATCTGAAAAAGTGTGTGTGTGTATATATATATATGAATCACTTTGCTTTACACCAGAAACTAACACATTATAAATCAACTATACTTCAATAAAATTTTTTAAAAAATTAAGAGTGAAAAGACAACCCACAGAAAGGGAGAAAATATTTGCAAATCATATATCTGATAACTGTCTATTATCCAAAATATATAAAGAACTCTTACAACTCAACAACAAAAAAATAACCCAATTTTAAAATGGGCAAAGGACTGGAATAGACATTTCTCCAAATAAGATATATAAATGGCCAATAAGCACATGAAAAGATGCTCAACACCATTAGTCATTAAGGAAATGCAAATCAATACCATGAGATACCACTTCACACCCTTCAGGATGTCTGTAATAAAAAAAAAAAAAGAGAGAGAGAGAGAGAGAGAAGGGAAGGAAGAAAGGGCAGAAAATAACAAGTGTGAAGAAATTGGAACCCTCAAACATTGCTGTTGGAAATGTACAATGCTGCAGCCATTGTGAAAAAGTTTGGAAATTCCTAAGTAAGATGAACACAG